GGAGCAGGGCTACTGGACCCACACGTTCTCTGATGCACCAGTGTCGGGGATAACAGGAGAGCCAGCGCTGAGAACTTCAGGACTTCAYAAGCTCCAGCGCGGGGCTGGCGGCTGAACAGCCGTGTGAGAGCTGCATCAGTGCTGGCTCACGCCAGGCCTCCCCCAGGGACGTTCAGCAGAGGGTCCCAAAACACCGGCAGGTCTGATCTTCCSGCCAGGGCAGTTGTCCCGTTGCTGGCGAGGCTCCGGCTTTCCCTGGCTGCCAGGCGGGCGCCTCGGCGGYGTGGCAGGCTGTGTCCAAGGCTGCAGGGCTGCAGCAGGCCCGGCCCTGTCTGTGCCRCTGCACCGCGCCATGGGGAGCAGCTGGGTCTGCCCCACACGGCCAGAGCAGGCAGCAGTGCTGGCCCTGCGCCAGCTGCCCCAGCCTGCCTGGACACCTCCACAGAGCTGAGAGCTGCAGGAGACTCGGGTCTCGCAGAGACAGGCTCAGAACCTGTCTCTGAAGCCCATCTCGTGCTTTACCCTCCTGCCGGTCCCTCCTCTGGAGCCAGGACAGGAGGGGAAAGGCGCAGCTAGAGCTGCCCCATGGATAAGGGCAGGACATAGTCGCGCTGGGCAGCTGCTCCTGAAGAGGCGGCAAGACGGGCATCCTTGGAGATTGCAGGAGGATCACTGTTGAACCTATCTAGGCTTGGCTGAGCAGGAGATGTGGCCAGCGAAAAAGGGGAGATTTTCCCACTGCGTCGTAATCGCTTGGCATCGCCACCACCAAAGGGCACTTGTGAGGGAGGCAGCCTGGCCACAGCGGAGCCCATCAGCCCTGTYGGGCCGGGACAAGCCCACAGGGCCGCAGGAGACAGAGGGGCAAGGCCAGACAGCGCTCCCGGGGAGAAGCCTGGCTGAAGAGCACCCGCGAGGGAGTGYGGCAGGGATTAGCCCGAGCGGGCGCTGCTCTGATCACAGCTCAGAGGTGGGAGACGGGGCTTTCTTCCCACATCTGCTAATCACTTACCCAGCAGTCTGAGCATTTGATCTCTGCGGTTGTGCCTCCAAGCAGTGAAGTGGGGGCTGATCCCACCTTCCTCCCCCAGGGGATCTGACTGCATTGTGAGGCTTAATTCGTTAACTCTGTGAGAGCTCCAGGCTCCTTGGCTGGAAGGCAGCACAATTTTGGCTTGCTAGGCAGAGTCGGCGACAAATGGAGCCTGTGTTGGCTCTACTGCATTGCTAAAGACCCTCCAACAAAGGACAAGGTTAACATGTAAGGATGGGGAAGATAGGAAAGATACAAGGCCCAGCAAACCGATCAGTCACGTAAAGGTCAAATCCACATTCGGACTGTAATGTACAACCAACAACAGTCAGTGAAATCCCAGGAGGTCCGGGCTGAAGAGAAGAGCTAAACCTAACCCAAGCTCTCCAAAATATCCCCAGCTCTAGCACACCCAGCTTTGCCTCYCCCCTTGCTGCTCAGACAGTTGTGTTCATTTGGGCACGAGGACCAAAACCCAGGCGTGCAGATACGGGCGCCCTGCAGCACTGCACTATGCAGGGTCGCTGCGCCGTGTGTCTCCAGCCCAGCTCCTTCCCTGGTGGAAAGCCTGCCCAGGGACAGCCTCATCCTCGAGCAGAGGGTGCACCCTGTGCAGCCCGCTCCTCCAGGGGATGCTTTGGCACTAGTGGAAATGGATTCCCAGCCTGGCACTTGGTTSCCAGTGAGGCAGCGCTGCATCGTGCCAGCAGCAGCACCACGCAGGGCACAGCTAGGAGGGGGTGGGAAGGGGACAGCAGTGGGGGCGCACAGCCCTTGGCTTCCCTCTGCGCAACGCTGTTTACATGCATCATCCAGGCGCGGGTAAAGCTCTTGTCTGACTCAGGCTACCACCTGCTTTCAGGCATCGTGCTGCGTCTGTCCTGGGACACCCCGCACGGGAGCTGACAGGAGAGACGAGGCCCCGTCCTGACACCCTTCCCAGAGCCATGGGGAATGGCTGTCCCAGTGTCCCTGCAGCCGCCTCGTGCTCCCCTGCTGTCCCCTAGTCCAGGGCAGCGGCCTGATGCCTGTGAATTACCAGCCTGCACTAGGTTCCTGCTTGGGAAGAACCACAACACCCTCCTTTTGGGGCTGCCTGGGAGCACTCCTGAGGTTTGGGAAGCTCCTCTGCAGCCTGCTAGCACACCCCCTCCCCTGCAGCCCTCAGCGTGTGCTCCTGGAGCGCTAAAATTAGCTGGCCAGCTGTGCGGCACGCTTGCACGGGAGCCGCGCTCCCCAGGCACAGCCCGCGATCCAGCCTCAGCAAGGAGGCAGCAGCCTATGTAGGGTAACGGGGCTGGGGCGGGCGGCTGCAGCGAGCGGAGCAGGGSATGCCTCCTCATCTCCATCGGCAAGGGGACCGACATCCCAGGAGCCTAAAACCAGTGGGAGGGAGCAGGGGGCTCGTCCTGGCGCCACGGCCCCTTCACACTCCCTTCYTCGCTGCTCCCCTCAGCAGCACCGGCCAGCAGCCTTTTCCAGAGCGTGGCCACCTCGTCCTCCCCGCCCTCCCGTGTGCACCCAGAGCCTCCCTGGGGAACAGCAGCGCTGCGGGCCGAGGAGCAGGATGGAGGAGCCRCCGGCTGCCCCTGCGCCGCTCCTCAGAGCTGCCTTTTGCTCCCACTCCCCAGCACGGCTCCGATACAGAGGCGGCAGAAAGGCAACTGTGGGAAGCACTGCAGCTGCAGAGGGAACGGTCCATTTTTAGCAGAGCAGCCTCCCCGCTGCTGGGTTCCCGGCAGAGCTGCGCAGGGATGGATGTGCCCGCGCTCGGCTGGCGCCGCTCGGCAGCCCTCCCCGCGGCCCCACAAAGCCTGGCCTTCCAGCCCTCGCTTGCTGCCCTGTCTCATCCTGCTTGGGATCTGACAGACACTGCCTCTTTACAGTGCCAGTGCTGTTTGTGGGGGAAATTAAACCCAGGTAGGAGTCAAGACAAGCCTGGGAGCTTCAACAGTAGCACACTGAGGAGCTGGCACCTTTTGGATGCTCCAAGGCCAAGCAGCTAAGGAGGCAGAGGTTCAGAGTCCTCATTTGGGGTGTTTTTATTCTGCTTTGGGTGCCTACAGCCTTTTCTGCAGCTGGGTTTAAAATTAGATAAGATTTTTTTTTTTCTGCGTAACTCCTTTTCCTGGAGAAGCGTGGGCTGAGAGGGAGGACAAGCTCCTGGTAACCCCTTAATGATGGGGCCAGCGACACATGCAGGAATAGGCCCACAGAGGCCTGCGAGCAGAGCCAGCTCGTCACCCTGACCGTGGGTGTTTATTAACCCCCACTAGTGCTGCCAGTGCCCTATGGAAGCCCGTCTTACGCTTCACGAGTATTTTCCAACTGCAGCACTTCACAGACACACACGATTTCTGCCCTGCAGTTCCCCTGGGAACTAATCCCATTCTCAGGACCCCAAATGGGGAAAAAAAGGCCCAGAAAGAGCACGCACCTGGCCGCAGGTGCACCTCAATGAGAGGAGGGAAGCCATTTCCCGGGCTCACACATGAGCCTCAAGGTCAGGCTGTCCCCTCAGGCTGTCCCCCGCCTCCCCGCAGCCGCCGGAGCCCATGCAACAGCCAGCGCTTCCCTCGCGCACACGCGAACGGAGCCGCGCTGCTCCCGCACCGGTTGTGCCGGCCGGGAAAAGGGGGCCACGGCAGAGAGCCGCAATGAGGCCACGGCGCAGCGGCACCTCCGGGAGGCCCCGYCGGCCCCGCTGCGGCGGCTCCGGAGTCGAGGGCAGCCCTGGGGCCCGGACGGCGCCTCACGGCTGAGGGGAGCAGTGCGGAGGGGCCGGCGCCCAGCCCTGCTTCTACCCCATATTACTCATGCAGGAAGGAGCCAGCTCACACATTGTCACCAGGCCCTGCCGCAGTCACACAGCAATGCACGGCCCCCTCGCCGCGGTGCTCCCGGGTGGGCCCGGCCGGGCTGGCAGTGCCGTCCCCTTCCCTAGCCCGGCTGGAGCCACCTCACCCTCGCCGCTGAGTTTGGACACCCTGTGAAGCGTGGCAGCAGGAACTGGGTCTCACGGGAGGCAGGACCCTCCTGCCAGCTTGAGTGGCTCAGTCACAGCCCTGGCGCACTAACTGCTGGCCCCCCTTCCCAYGGCTGCTCCTTGCCCACATCACCAGAAACGTTTACACCAACACGGCTACATGGCCCAGTGCTCCCAGACCCTCTCTGGGAAGCCAGGAAGGGCCAAGTACCATGGGGTTAATGCTGTAAAGCCTTGGGGTGCAGCTGAGCACCCCAGCCCCAAGAAAGCTCCCCCAGGCTTCCCCCTCCTGCCTCTGGTGCAGAGCAGCAAGGGCAGCCAGGACCACAACCTGGAGTCCTGGGGAAATCGTGGGTGCTCCCAGTAGTGTCCTTGCCTCCTGGGGCACGTGGTGAGCTGCCTTCTCCCTAGCTGCTTTAGCAGTGCCCAGGCTGCCTCGGCTGTTGCCCTCCTGGGGAGCTGGAATGTCTCCCTGGCTGTGCTGGCCACCGCCGGGCACTTGGGAACTTCAAGAGTCCTTTACAGGACCTTGGCAGCAGCAACCACTTCAGCCTTATTAAACCCTTCTCATTTGTTTACATTCACGAAATCAGCCTGGGCCGGAGCRGCCAGCTACACCCAGTTGTTCAGCATGCCGTTTTCCAGCCTGCTGGACTCCCCCGTGTGCATGTGAAGYTTTCACCAAGCAGGTGGAAGGCTTTCAAAGCCTGGAGATGCTTTGAGAACACTTGGTTGGGCAACTATTGCCTGCAAATGGCAAGAGCATTGATCAACCTCAGAGCACAGCAAATCTGCCACAGAAGCAAAGTCCAGCTCCAAGCCAAGGGAACGTCACTACTCCTGCCTCTGCTCCGACAGCTTGATACAAGCATAAGGATGGACACATTCATTGCATCCCATGCAGCCACCTATGTGACCCGACCCAAAACTCCAGTCATTGTTCCTGCTGCTCAGTTGACCAGGGAAAGCAACTAGATTTACCTTGAGCAACTCCTTGGGGAAGTCGCTGCCTCCGTTCAGCCCCTCCAAGTTGCCAATGAAGTCGGAGCAGGACATTCTCTTCCCGATGTTCTGGGGGAGCCAGGGAGAGAAATGCAGGGCATTACCTTTGGGCCAGGGGAGCAATGCTGCATGGAGAAGGTTCCCACAGCCTAAGAACAAGTTCCCTGTTCTCTAGTGCAAGTGAGTGGTCAGCTASCTCTCAGAAAGGACAGTTCAAGGTGTGGAGAAGCCTCCTGCTTTACTTAAGACTCCAGGAGTTTTCCCTGCCTGCTTTTGTTTTGTTTCCTCACCCTATCCCAAATCTTCCAGTTTAATGTGTCTCATCTATAGCCCCATTCTCTCTTTCACCAGCTCCCTCTCTCTCATTTAGGCTTTCTCCTCTTTCATCCACAGCCTCTTCAGTGTTGATCAACCCTTGTGGGACCAGGGCAGGCTGCACAACCCTCGTGCCTTCTGCTCCCACAGCTCTGTCCCTGGAATTTCCTCACTCTTCCCCAGGACCTGCAGTTCAGGATCAAAAGGGCAGGGACTGACCAGGCTGAGAGCAGAGAGAACTTACGTGTCCATGAAGATCTGTGTTGAGCAGCATCAGGGCACAGGTCAGCGTGTGGGCTCCGTCTGCAGCACAAGCACAGGACAGGCGATCAGAGCCCCAGAAATCGCCCTGCAGTTGAGACCTGATCCATTTAGGGTGCTAGGTGTGACCCGAGGCCTTTGGATGAGCTCAGGATGGTGCCGAGCCCATTCCTCCCACCCTGGGCACGCAGGACACGCAGCAGTAGGCATGGTGCTGGCAGCACATAGGCAAGTCGATAGGAGGCCACTGAATTAAAGCTGATCCCACAACTGGGATAAAAACGCCCTTCCAGCCCTGCAGCCCCATTAGCCAGGCAGTGATGCTGAATTAACATTGTACAGCTCCCAGCACGGGCAAAGTGGCGACGACAYAGCCCTCTTCCAGCCACACAGCCAAAAACTCACCTGCCCACAAAGCCAAACCAGGGCAGATTTCAGCATGTGAACACACAGAAGAAAGGTGCAAAGACATAAAACATTCGGGTAAAGGAGTACAATCTGGGTGCTTCCCTGGGCCCCGCTGTGTGCCAGACGCCAGTTTTCTCACCTGGCTGTTCCCTGAGGCATGGATCTGAGAGCTGGGTCTGTGTGGCGAGGAGGGCCTTCTCTTGCCTCTGGAGCTAATCTGCTCAAGGTCAGAATTAAGGATGGTTTGAGCCCTAATTGCGCATCTTCAGACCGGAGCAGGTTTTAACAGAACTATCTACAGCACTTGCGGTCTGAGGGAAATGATGGCATCGCTGTAACAGGGGATTTCGCCTAAGGCACTAGTACATGCTCYCAGACTGATCTGTGGTTTTATTCAGGCACTTTCTCCAAGTTTATGAACATACTYGAGTAGAAATACTCAGACGTACTTACACACGCATGCACACAGAGACTTTCTTACCCTCAGAAGAGATGGCATTGGGATTACACTCGTAATAACGTTGGGAAAAATGAGCCAGCACTCGCTCTCGCTCTTGTGTCTCTCCCATTAAGGCCAGCTCCTTTAGAAAGGACCTGAAGAAGCAGCAGCAGCGTTGGTTGCAAATTCAGTCCTCTAGCAGCTTCTCTAACCCACTCTTAGCAGGAGAGGACCTGCCTTTCTGTCCCCTCCTGGTGACCCCCGTGTGTGAGGTGTGAAGCCCTGATTCCTTATGCCTTCCCCAGACAGCAGCAGGACTCTATTCCAAGTCCATGGCATCATACCTGGTCAGCACAGCATAGACTTAAGGTTAAGCACTAGAGACTATACTGGAGAATGAGGTTGGGTTGGCACCAAAGGCTCTGGGCTCAAAGACCAGCAACTCTGTCACAGGCAAGCCTGACTTTTTCTAAACTGCACTGGCCTGTGAGCTAAGACCAGGGATGCTCTTCCTTGGTTGTGTGGCCAGGAAGGCACTTTGGGAAATGAATTCTACCATTTATGAGGTAAGGAGATCCCCAAGTGGGAGCAGTGGAGCCTGCCTGCTCCTGCAGCGCTCTGCATGGGTGAGAAGCTGCAGAAGGCATGATCTCCTGGACCCACTTATATGACTACAGCACACACAGACAGAGTACTGACCTGAGAGCCTGGTCCAGACTCATTCCTGTGAATACGAAGAATTTCAGATATTCCCCCGCCACCATTTTGCTAAACTCATTGCTGAAAAAGAAAAGAAGAAGCAAGAGTGGGATTGACCAGACAGTGGGGACAGCAATGTCCCCACATGATGATGACAGGAAGGGGAGGAATGGAGTGGATTTCAGTAGGCTGAGTACCCCTCAAGAGGCATGAAGCCAAGAGAGTGCGCTGGGGACAGACACACCACAAAGTTGGAGGAGCCACCCACAAATCCAACTGGAGCATACAGCAAATAAGCAAAATTAGAGAAGACAGAGCTGTTAGGGCCCAAGGAAGGTCAGCCAGGCAGCCCCCTATCCTCTAACGCCTTACAAAAGGCATCCCCACCAACACAAAATCACAGTAGAGGGTATCAAACCTGGGCATCTCTTAGGTGTTTAGCCCTGCAGAGGGAACGTGTGGCACAGGCAGGCTGTGGCAGGGAGAGGGCTTTGGGGTCCCTGCAGCTATTCTCTGACAACCCAGTGCTTTGCAGGGCAGCAGTGGGGCAGGCAGATGGAATGGCAGCTCTGCAGAGCAGGCTGTTTCTTGTGAATACCCACACGTACTTCTTCCCCAAGTGGCGGGCCACATCTGCTTTTTTAAATCCATCCAGGTTGTAGAGCCTCTTGGCAAGGCGTTTGGCAGCCTCCAGGTCAGCCTTGTGCCCATTGGAAAGGGTGTCCGTGCTGCCCAGGGCAAGCTGCTCCATGCTGTCCATCTCCAAGTCTGAGTCAGAAACCAGCTGGCTCAGGGGGTGGTTGCTGCAACAGAAAAAGACACTTCACATTAGTCTGGCAACTGATCCTCTGCTCTTTCAGCTTCTCAAGAAATCTGGGCTCCTCACCCTACTTTGGAGGCCTGCTGCTCACTGCTGGGGTGCATTATGATCAAAGTCATTAGAGTTGCTAAGAGGTTGGATCTAGGCCCTAAAGGAAGGCTTGGGGATGTGGCTGGAAGAAAGAAGAGGCAACAGGACACTTCTAGTGAACGATGACAGGACCAAGTGGCTCAAAGCCATTTCCAAACGGGGTACAGAGAGGCAGGAACTCTGCCTGAAGCCATCCTGTGAGCCCTTCTCTGGAGCAGGCCTCTGGGCCAAAAGAGCTCACCACGCTGAATTGCTGCAATGTACTGCCACTGTCCCACTTCTTGCCAGTAGCCTTGTTTTCCCTTCCAGGCCTACACCCTACCGAGGAAAAGCTTGGTGGCTACCCTCATGAAGATGTTAAGCACTCTGCTCAGTGGAGGTGACAAACATGACGGCAAATACTCAGAGCATGAGGCACGAGCGCCACCAGCCTATAACTCTCTGGAGAATGGTTAACTCACCCGATATCTCTCAGCGGAGGCCCCATCTAGATGGGAAAAGCCTGCATGAGCTGAGCCCATTTGTGGGGACAGATCATGTCTGTCACAGGGCTTCTCCCTGCCATTAGCCAGAGCCTTTCTCTAGGGCCTTTCCAATAGTTTCTCAAGGAGACCTGTCATGTTTGCCCCTTACAATGGAGAAGAGTAAAGCAATAGTGAGGTGACTAGCCCAAGGTCATCTAGCATGCTGAGAGCAGGATAAGAAACTGAACCCACATCTCCTAAGCCCCTGTAGCCCACAAAATACATTTTCCAAACTCTAAAATGGAGGCAAGAGACCAAGAGACAGCTTCTCTTCCCTCAGGTAACTGGTGAGGGAAGCCCTGGAACTACAACACTTTCGTATCACCAGGTCTCCATGGGAAACATCATCCCTGCTCGAAGCCTGTGAGGGTGGTGTTGCCGGGCTGTGCAAACAAGGGAGGACGCTCTGAAGTGCCATCTCGCTGCCCCTGCACCTGGGCCTGCGGGATCTGGGCATCCTTCGGCTCCCTCTGCGTGCACGGCTGTGAAGAGCACCCTGCCTGGCGGTTACCTGCATGCATCATGTGCTGCCCTACATATCTGCACTCATTTTTAACCTGGACAGATTCCTGGTGTTGTACTTAGAGTGCAGTTTCTACTCAAGACAAGAACACTCTAATTCTCTCCCGTAGCCTCATCCACAAACCTCTAAGTGCTTCACAGAAGGGAAAGCCGAGGCACACAGAGAGCAGCCTAAGCAAAACACCCCGGCCTCCCATCCCTCAGCATCATGTACCGTCTTCTCCAGGCTGCCCATCCGCGCTCACCCACCTTGCCTTAAAAGGCCATGTTGGGAGCGCTCTCTTGGCTGAGCCTCCGGAGCGGTCTGACTCAGCGCACACAAGTTGGCCCAGCAAAAAGTAAGTAGAACCCAATCAACAGTGAACATGAAGCAACTCTGACCTCGCCTAAATTTTCTGGCAGATCTCGCAATGTTCCAACCTGATTTATTTTTAAAAGTCTCTAATTGACTTTTAAGAGGCCTACTCTCCTGAGCCAATTACACAGTCCAGTCTCCTTGAGACTCTGCTTCTTCCACTAAGGACGCAGCCTCCCCGCTGCTCAGCGCTGGCCTCCCGCACTGCGTTTGTGGCACATCCCAGGACAGCTCTGCATCGCGGCACGAGGCCGCCCCTTCCCCTCGGAGAGGCTCCCACCTGCCTCCTCCCACCCTCTTGGCATCCCAGCGAGCTGGGAGCAGGGGAAGCTGTTCTGACTCTCAGGTCCATTGGCTGGTGGATAAAGGCTCCTTGTGAGTCCCAAGGGAGATGCGCTGGATGTGGACTGGCGCTGAGCTTGCCAGTGCTGGACCGTGATTGCTGTGAGGTCCGAGTGGGTGGCCCAGGGGGACATCTGGCTCCAGATGTCCTCAGAGATCCTGTCCTTGGGCTCGCGCTGCCCTCCCGGGAGCGGCGTGACGATGGCCTTCGGGTCGGCCTGGTTCCCCCTCTTGGCCCCAGGCCAGCGTGCTCTGGGGAGGCGTGCTCTGGCCGTGGCTGGCAGGAGGCCCTCAGGGTCACCATCTGTACAAGCAGCACGCCCTGCCTCGTGGCGCCCCTCCAAACGCCACAGGGATGCGCCTTTGTTTTGTGACATTGAAACCTCTGTATAACAAGGCCCACGAGCGCCGGCGCGGCCCTGGGGTCAAGCAGCTGGAACGGCTCTCGTCCACGTGCCTGAAACCACCCCTCTCCCCAAAGAGGCCGCCAGGGCCCCGCGGTGCCGCCGGAGCGGGCCCCGGCACTCGCCACCCTGTGGGAGCGCTGGCCACGTGGGGGCTGTTTAAGCACCAGGCACGGCGGCACTGCCGGGCCAGCCCCGCGCACGTACCCYGGCCCCGCTTCGCCTCCGCGCCCGGGTGCGACCACTGTGCCCGCGGCCAAAGCGCAGCGCTTAGGGGCTATTTTTGCTTCCCAGGAATGCGGAGATGAATCCACCCAGCAATTGGCACTCACAGCCCACAGCCCGTGGCGACTGTAACTTCTTTATGAACTGCAATYACAGGGGCTCCGGCTCCGTGTCCTGTCCCAGCAGCTCCAGAGTTGCTCACAGGCTGAGCTAGCAAACCCAAAGCCACCTCTCCCAGCGCCCCTGCAGGTCACCTGGACCTCTAGAGCAAGCGGCTGCTCAGCCACACTCTGAAGACTYTCCACTCTTAGCCAGTATCACTGCTATCCTGATACCCTGATTTGGACCTTGCCTCACGRCTGGTGACCACAATGGGTCTCCTGTGGCAGACCTAGCACTCCAAGCGCCTCTCCACGACCTCGCTTCCCACACTGTGCTCTTCAGCTTTCCTCCCCAGTGCTGAGCACCCACTTGTGGCTCCTCCACAAGAACCTCTCTGCCTTTCACACCRCTTTCTCCTGCAGGCTTCCAACCTGTGGCTGCAATTCTTGCCTTGCCTCTTGAAATAGGTGCACAGGGATCCCAGTTTACCGCTTAAAGCTGTTCTGCCAAAACCCAAAAGACCAAAAGCCTCCAAGCAAATGCAAAACAGAGCAAAGAGCTTGTGTGCATGTTTGAGGCAACTGAAGTGATTCTAATTGTCCTGCCAGCAACCTAATGTGTTAGAGGATATATATTTTTTTAAGCATGCTTTCTACAGTGACATTTCAGTTTGGCTTGAAGAACCACTGAGATAATATTTTTACATCWGAAATATTTTCAGCTGAAGAGTTGGCCTGTACTTAAAGAAAAAAGATCAGATTTAGTGTTGTACAGGCATCCTCGGTGCATCTGCAATGAGTCATCCCAGAGGTGACCCCAAGCTCAGTCACGCCGGGCTGTCCCCTGCACCCGCCACATCCCTGGGCACAAAGGGCTCCCCTCCTACTCCAGCTCTATGGACAGCAGGGCTCAGGCAAATGGCAAAACCTGATGCCGCAGCATCCCTTCAGCAGGTCCCCATACCCTTCCTCAGGGGCTGGTGTCTCTGAGGCCTGTGCCGAGGTGGCAGAGGCCAGGGCACAGCTGCTGTCACTGTCCCAGCTCCCTCGAGCCACCCCGGGACGTGCCTGTGGCGCGCACCCGCAGCAAAGCATGCTCACCCAGTTTCATAGGAGGAAATACCTGGCTCCGCAGCAGGGATTGCCTGGTCGGGTTTTGGGGCCAGGGCTGCCCAGGGGAGTTCCTGGCTCCAAGCCTACGTGATGCTGCCAAAGATGGTCTCAAGCTGTCCGTGTGACAACACACAAGTGSTTGCACGCACAGAGGCAGCTTAAAAGCTGGCAGAAAGCACGTGCCTTGCAGCTGGGAGCTCACATGTAGTGCAGGTATGGGGCAAGGGGGAGGGAAATGCACGAGGGTTTGTACAGGCAGCAAATGCTCTGTCTGGGCTCTGGCAAGACAAAGTGGTGGAAAGGGCACAGGGCARGAAGAGGGGAACCAGCAGGAGCTCACTCAAGGGCCACATTCCATGCTGAGCACAGCACGTCCCTTGTCCACACTGTCTATTCTCTCAAGGACAATCTCACCCCAGTACCAAGAGCTGCTTTGGGGTGTACTGCCCATGCCGGTTGTYTGGAGCCCACCAGCAGACCTGAGCACCTTCCTACACTGGAATGGAGTGTGTCACCACCACACGCTCTCCACCTTCCCACCATAAAGCCAGGCTCACCTGCCATTGTCTTCCCTTAGGGACTGTCGGCAACAAGCAACAAATCTTCCTAATTTCTCTCCTGGACAAGAGGTAGCCGTAAACCATTAGCTCAGAAGAGCCTGCCCAGGAGGGCTGACCTCCAGCTCCTCTCTGCTAGCACAGATGTACTTGCAGGGTAGGGACTTTCCCTTCCCAAAGCCCTACTCCTCAGGAAAGGGGAAGATGCATCCCTGGCACAAACTGTCAGATGGCAATGGGCTCCAGTTGGAGATGCACTACTGAGCTCCTGGTTGTCCAGCTCCTGCATGATACATTTCCTAGTGAGTCACCTGCTGTAGGAACTCCAAAAATTCTGACTGCCATCCAAGTGCCACATGCTTGCCAAGGCAGAGCACAGGAACCCTGTTTGCTTCCTGCACCAGGACGGGCAGGGAGCCTGGTCCGAACCTGAGGGACACGAGCATGGGACAGACCAGCACTCTGCCCTCTATTCCCAACATCCCACATGCCTGGCTAGATGTGCGATGCCTCAGCCAAGCGCGCCCAGCCTGCCCAGTATCAGGGCTCAGAATGTACCAGACCGGATCTTTGGCTGAGCTAAAAAAATGCAGCTCTCTCCACTRGTCTCAGTGGAATGACTTTGATTTATGAGCGCCAAGATCTGGGCTGGTTCACTCCTAGCAGAACTGAAGTTAGGGCTGGGAGGACACTTGAAGGTCATCCAGGCCAGCCTCCAACCACAKGCAGGACAGCCCTGCTTTCCTCCCT